GGCGCCCGGGTCGGAGGCGGGCGCGGGGCCGAGGTGCGTGCGGAGCGGGGGAGGGGACAGGTAACCACCGGCCCGGGCGGGGAGGCCCGGAGGACCCGGGGAGGGGAGAGGAGGAAAGTGGGGAGGGAGCCGGAGGGGCGGGAAGGGCTGAGGTGATGGGGGCGGCCTCGGGGGCCCAGACCTGGCCCTCCCTGGGGCCCCTCTTCCCGGGGACTCGGCGCCGCACTGACTTTTCGCTCACACGCTCACGCTTGCAACTGAACTCGTTCACAAAGTTGCCGGCGGTGGCGGCGCGGCTCCCGCCCTTCCCCTCCCCTCCCTGCATCCCCGCCCCATTCCTTTCCCCTCCTTCGCTCCCTACTCCTCCTCCTCTCCACGCCCCCTCCCCGCCAAGTCTCGGGTGAGATCACCGCCCGCTGGCTGAGAGCTGCGCACAAATCTCGCGAGAGAATAGGCAGAGGTGGAGGGGGGAAGTGGAGAGAGACGAGGGGGAGGGGAATCGCGGAACTCCTGGTTGCCATGACAACGGCAAAGCCTTGGATTCCTGTGTCTGGCGGAAGACCAGGGCAGTTTTCACCTGCCCCCCCCCTCACCCCTTGGCCCAACTCCCTTCCAGTAGAGAAGGAAAGCTGGGAGCTGAGGGAGGATTTTCCCCATTAGAGAGGAAGGAATCTGCAGACCAACTTCATGGTACCTGACCAAATTTAGCAAAGAAGGCTCTGGGACCACAGAAGCCAGCTTTATCTCTACTTCCAAATTCCTACTATGTATTCAGTTTATCCACTTTCCCTGTCTAATCTTATCCCATTCCTACACACCATGCTTTCCACCTTCCCTAACAGTAGATGGACAATGTCTGCTTTTAAAATTTAAATAGGCAATGAGGATCCTCAGTACTTTCCTTTGTCCTTAGAGTACTTATGTTTTATGTGTAATTTTCTGCACTTCAGTGGGTTTTTGAATCCTTTAAACAACACCCCCATTTTTTTTCCTTCCCAGATTTTCAGGGGTTACAATCCCTCCTTTCTCCATCTTTGTTTCGGTAATCATGGATGGCAGAAGAGGGGGGGGTCCCATGAGAAACAAAGCATTTTAAAAAGATCATCAAGCATCCTCAGATGCTCTGTGTGTGTGTGTCTGTGACCAAGCAAGAATACTCAAGCTTTAACTCAGGGCCTCCCACACTTATCTTTTTCACTCAGGGTTGGTGCTCTACCACCTGAGCCACAACTCCACTCCCCCGCAGATATTTTTGTAACTGCTGCAGAATTCTATTAAGGTGGAAAATGAAATCTTCTCATCCTGTTACTTCTTTTACTTGTAGAAACTTTCCTGTGTGTGAGGGAGGTAGATACTTGCTGCCTAAGTAAAGTAGGTACTGTTACTAGAAGTTAAACTTAAGATTTAAAAAATAAATAAAAATAGATTCTAAGTCATGTGAAGTATATGTTGATTTCAAAATAGGATCCATCTATATACATTAATATGAGACACCATCACTTAACTCAATCCCATAAAACTAAAAACCTAACATAATTTTTTAAGTGGTAGGTAAAATCAAGAAATAAAGGTTTGACTCCTTCAGAAGCATTTAACCTCTTTCACTCTACATCTGTAAAATTAAGGGGTGACCCACACGTTAGGTTATTATTCCTTTAAAATTCTATAGCACTTAGACCTATAAAAGTTCCAATAAATTACAGATATTTTCCTGTTACATCAAGCAATATAAAGCAAATGAATATTCCATACATGTTGGCAATTTTTTCATATTGACCTTTAAGTTTTCTCTTGTCTCATCTACAAAACCAACAGAAATATTAATCCTGTTACAGTCATTACAAAAGTACTTTTTACTGCGATTTGTTTTTACACTAACTCAAAACAGATTTCTTGTTTTTAATAAATATGCCAAATTAAAACCAAAGATCTAGACTAACTACATCCCCACTACCTCTAAGATAACTATAAGAAGGAAAAAAGGTGGTAAGGAAAAAAGGAAAGTCTTAGATTCACAGACCCATGTGTTTAAAATCACATTTTTACAAAGAAACACAATGGAACATTACCATCAATCTTGTGGATTTGTTTTATGGTCCAACCCTTCATAACATAGCTCAATATTATAAATCAGTTGTTGCTCATTTTACTCTAAAAATAATTTTGCCCTTAAAAGTTCACTGCCAATCTGTATCCAGCAGCACTGTGCAATTTCAAGGCCTTTTATGACTCCCAGATACCCATTTGAAACAATTGACCTAAGTGCTAGCCAAATCTGTTAAACTTTCTTCAGTGCTTCTTATGAAGCTCAGGAGATAGTTGTTGGATTTCAAAGTCCAACAACATCAACTTACAAAGGTAATTTCCCTAATCTTTACACACAGTCAAATAGTAGAATTGCTCCAGGTATCTAAAACTCTTTCTAAGCTTTGGACTACTTACTTACCTACTCCTTGGTTTTTCTGGAAATATAAAAACTGAACTCCACCAAAGCTGAGCATACAACCACACATACTCTGGGTCAAGAACTCCCGCTATATCCTTTTTGGCCTCCCTGGTGTTTCAAAGTAGCAGACGAGAGGCAGCCTGCAGCACCAGAGGGAAAAGGGGAAGTGGAGATTTAGCCAATCACAGAGCAGATCTCAACCTCTTGCCTACCACTCACTCCACTCCTCTAATCTTCTGGGCCTCTACCCCTTCCACTGACACAGGATCAGCAACTTCCTACTGATAAGAACAGCTAGTCGTGTATTACATTACCTCCTCCCTATCTGCTAGTTTGTTAAAGCTTCGTTTCCCTCTGGCTGTTCACTTTTGCTCCACAGAACACCCTAACACATGGAATACAGAACAAACTTTTGAAGTAGAAGCAGGCTCAGCAAGGAAGTTTTATAAACATACATAATATGTATGTATTTTTAATATCACAAACATTTATATTTGCAGATTTATTCTGGCTTACTCGCCCTTTTAGCATGCAGTTCAGAACTTCGCCTTACTAATATCCTGAAAGTGATTCTGCACCATTGAAAAGTCCAAAAATGCCTCCCAAACCATCCAAGACCACTGGTTAAATTTCATTAGCTAGGCCTTATGTAACTCCACCAGAATAAAAATTTCTTTTTTTTTTTTTTTTTTGCTCATTTCCCCATCTAGGTAATTGTATTCATTACAAGTTTAAAACACCAATGACTTCATACTAAAGTAATTTTCCATGTTAAGCAATTACAAGGAAGGAAGCAACTACACTTTCCTGTCACTCTCCTACTCCATAAAGGTCCATTTCATCTCTCCTTTAGCTTCATCAAATCTCTGCTTGTAATGCTTCTTTCCTTGGTGAGACAGAGCCATCAAAAGAGGACTGAGCACACACACCTACTCTACCTAGAAAACTACCTGCATCTGTCTGCACACACACTCTTCCTCCTATCATTTCTGGTGAACTATTGGTGCTGACCTTTTGTTCTGAATACTAGTCCCATCTTCACCAACTCAAGGACATAAAGTCAGCAAATTTTCTATTTCTGTAGAATCAATTCTAAAGTTGCAGGAATGCTATAATGTCTGCCATGGTAAATAATAATAAAATACTTTCTATATGCTCTATCTGCTCCAGTTTCTCTTTACCTTTGCTGTTTTCAATCCTCTCTACCACCTCTACTCTGAGCTGTCTTTCACTCCCTCGAGGCCATGGAAATAGGTATCTCCAGAAATATCAATGATGCTTCATGGCTAAATCCAGTGCTCAGCTGCTCTGCTCAGCTGCCTGGATCCCATAGCAGCTGGAGGGGGCTGAGTAAGCTCACCTTTGAAACACTTTTCTGCTGTAGCTTCTAGGTGAAGTTCTAGAATTCCTTTCAGTCTCCAACATGCAAACACAAGAAGGAGGCGAATCCTCGGACATCTTCTCTTTGTGTTTTCTGACCCTCTGGCAGCCTAACGATAGGCCATCATCTAGATACACACTGCTCCCAGATTTTCCCAGGCATCCCTGCAAACCTCACCCATCTCTTATTCATTGTCTCCAGATGGTTATACACCCAGAATCTCAAACCTCATAAGCTCCAAGTATCCTCCCAAGCAAGTGCCTTTTGACAGTCTTCCTAATCTCAGACAAGAGTGCCCTCCCAAAGGTTCAGAGGTTTAGATCCTGTTTGGTTTTTTTTCTGTCTTCTCAGAGCAAACTTTACCTGATAGTCATCCTTAACTCTCTTACTTTTTTCATACCCCCTCAGACAAACCCTCAGCAAATATTCTTGACCCTTTCTTCAAAGTATGTGCAGAATCCAATCACTTCCCACCTGTTACAACTCTACCTCCGGGTTCAGGTATTACCTGTCACAATAATCTCCTTATTGGTCTCCATAGCTGGTTTACCTACTTCTGCCTTCTGCCCCTAATTATTCTATATAGAGGATCCAGAGTGTGAACATAAATCAGACCGTGCCATTGTACTGTTCAAAAGCCTTCCTGGGCTTCTCAATTCACTCAGAGGAAAAGCCCAAATGTATATTCTGGCCCAGAGAACTGCGTAAAGTTGTTCTTTGGTA